CGAATTTCGGTCACGAAGAGTCGGCGGGCGCGTCGGGGTCCAAAGGCGAGGGCTCCGAAGACGTCCACGGCTCGCTCGTGACCGGAATTTCGCGACGGGAGGCCGAGGGTCGGTCGCGACCAGTTCGTCCAGAGCGTGACCGGACAGTTTCGTGGTGTCGGGCGTGTCCCTCTACAGGAGGCAGACGAAACAGATAGTCAAATCATAGTTGGGGGACGATCTGTTAGAAGTCATGTTCGGCTGTGCTTTTTTGGATTGTGTTATTTCTTCGTCCAAAATCCGCCTGTAGGAGGACATGCCCGACCTAACGTGTTCGGTGACGGATGATCTGCGCCCCGCCCTGGGCCGTCGGCCCCCTGTCGGTCCGCCTGGGCCCTCCCCTCCCCGGCATGCGCGCACAGCGGGCATATGCTTACGTCGGGCATGCCCTTCGACAGGAGGAATACTCAAACATTGTGAAACAATGCATAGTCTGGCGACGATCGAGATCTATACGTATATACATATATACACATATACATACACACATGCATATGTACATATATGTACATCTACATATGTACATGCATATATACATATATGTTTGACTATGTTTGAGTGTTGTTTGACGTGTGCTTCCCTGCAACATCCGCCTGTAGGAGGACATGCCCGATCTAAGCATGTGTTTCACCAGCTTGAACCGAAACTCTTCCCTGTCGAGGCTACGGCCTCCACGCCATGCCCTCAGGGGTACGGGCGAGATCCCAGTGGAGCACGCTCGACCCAAGTAGCAAATCGTGGGGGCCTCGTGTGTCCCCGGAGTTCTCGATGGGAGAGCGCCGATGTAGCGTCGACTAGCGCCGATTTATCGTCGTCGATTAGCGACGCTCCGCAAGAGCCAAAAAGCTAGTATGGTAAGTTCCCATGAGTTGCCGCAGAAAAGAAACCCAAACCTCGTGGGGCCGCGCACTGAAAGCAAAGCACATCGTCGGACATCTGGGACGACGACGCCGTCGTTTCGGAGTTGCCGCAGAACGTGCCCTGTATGTCCAGACCCCCGACGTCATGCTTCTTTTCATAACGTCGATCCCTGGAGGTCTCGACCCATTCCCAGAGACTGTTTTTTATCCCGAACGTTTTTGTTGACGGGCCCGAGGCCCGCTGAGGGCCCCTGGAGGCCGAAACTACCGAAGAGCTCCCCGCCGCGATTTGTCATGGCTCGAGGGGGCTGGAGATAATGGGCGCGGGTGAGCTCCCCAATGTCGAAGAAGAAAAAACGATATAAAGATAAACTCTTGGCGCTCCGCGCGATTTTTCCTTGGATCCGCGCTGAGCCCCCCCCCCGGCGGCGCCTCCGGCGCCGCCCCTAGGGCGCGCTCCTCGCGCCAGGGAGGGGCGTCCAGCGCAGATCCAAGAACTCCGCGCGGAGCGCCAAGAGTCTACGTTTGTGCCGCGTTTTCTCTTTTCCCACAGTGGGGCGCGCACGACTCGGGCGCTCGCTTCGCTCCGCCTCCCCGGCAGGCGTGGCCCTCCCCCGGCGCTGCCACGCCTCGCCGCCTGCCGCCCTGCGCGGCAGGGCGCCGCTCGGCGCGGGGCACGCGGCCGCGGGGGCCAGCGCCTACGAGCTGCTGCAGATGCTGAACGCCTCGCCGGGGCACTCGCAGAACAGCAAACCCAGACCCCGTCGGTCGACTACATGTAGGGTCAAGTTGGGCTTGTCCCTCTGCAGGCGGAAAGTTCAAAAGCAGGGAAAAATAGTCTGGGGACGAGTTGTTCTCTTATTGTGTTACAGTGTCCGAATATTATTTTTGACTTTTTTCTTTTCGTCCAACATCGGCCAGTAGGAGGACATGCCCGATCTGAACGCAGGGCTGGGGGAGCAAGCAATGGCACAAGCACCAGAACTCGGAGGTGCGCGCGGATTCCTCGGATCGGCGCTGGGGGCCTCCCTGGCGGCGCCTCCGGCGCCGCCCCTGGCGCGCTCGGCGCGCCGGGGATGGGGGTTCCGGTTCCGTTCCGAGGAATCCGCGCGGACCTCAGAGGTTTCATGGCTAAATTTAGGATGATCCAACCTACTTTCAGCCCTGATCACCAGAATGAACTTCGAGCACCAGGAACCCCCCCCCAAAACTTGAGGGTTTGCACGTGTCGGGCCCCGGGAGGCACTCTCTCGACACTTCTCCGGATGCTCGATTTTTTTTCTGGGATGTGGTCCTTGAGTACGATGGGAGCAACGTAAGTGTAAGTAATTTCTTGTTCCCCTACAGATTGACCCTTCGCTGGAATGACCCTTGGTGCGCGCCCACTTCGGCCCCCGTGTCGCCGAGTGCGGTGCGATGGCAGCGGCTGCGTCTTGCGCGCCTGCGGCCGGTCCCCCCGCGGCCCTCAAACGTCCGCGCACCAAAGATCATCCGTGCCCAGGGTCACTCTTGCGGGTAGCCGACTCAGGCCATGAACAAAAAACATGAAAGGCGTATTTGTTACGGTGGCGGCGTTGGTTAAGGAATGTGCCTAGGAGGCGTGAGACTTTGGAGGGATCCTTATCTGATGAGGGCGGCAGTGATGTCCGTGGCCAAACTTCAGTGGGTTTTGCCAGCTTCCAGACCCTGGATTCCTTATCCAACTGTTCCTTATTCAATGTCCTCACCGTAGCCGTTTCGGCGCGAGCTGGTTTACCTGAGCTGGCGACAGCTCGCGTTTGTGCCCACTTACTTCGAAGCGGCGTAGTGGGCACGAACCAACTTTCACGACGACGGCTCCCCCCGCGGCAGCCCGCGGGCCATGGCGCCGTCACAAGCGGACCCTGGCATCATCCCAGGCGCGCGGCGGACACCTCTCTGGTCTTGCTCCTGCGGCTGTGATGGCAACTGGGCGTCCAGGACGCGCTGCCGCCAGTGCTGGAAGGCGGCCCCCACCAGTGTGGTGCAGGCAGCCAAGCGCTCGGCAGCAGCAGCCGAAGGGCCAGCACCCAGCACGTCTCGCCCGCGCGGGGCCTGGGCGCAGGGCCCGCCAGGACAGGGACAGCTACTGGAGCAGCTGCAGAAGTTGCAGAAGCAGGTGGCAGAGCTCAAGGGCGAGGCCCCGCCGCCGACGAAGCCCTGGAAGGAGCGCAAGCCCCCGCCCAGGAAGGCTGCCGAGGCGAGTGCTGGCATCTCCTACAAGGACGTGGTCACCTTCTTGGCGAAGGAGGGGCTCGACACCAGCGCGGTGGAGGCGGCAGAGAAGGCTGCGGAGTCGAAAACGCTCGAGAACAAGCAGCCTACTGCTCAGACGCAGCGCTGGCGGGTCAAGGGCATGCGCGACAATATCAAGAAGCTCGAGACCCGCGAGGCCGCCATCTTGGAGCAGCAGGCCGCACTCGACAAGGAGCTCCAGGAGCTCAGGGTCTCGATCGACGACGAGAACCAGAAGCTCACCGAGGGGGAGGCCAAGTTGGTCAAGCTGCAGGCCAGCGAGCTCCCCGACCCGAT